AAAAAAATCAATAAAATATATATTAAAAAAAAGCAGTATACCATTTTAAAAAATTGATCTTAGAGAGAGGGAAGGCGATGTAGAGAGAGAGTGAGAAAGAGAGAGAAACATGCCAAATGCGTCCGGAGCAGGGATTGAACCCACCACCTGAGTACATGCCCTGACCGGGAACCTAGCCCACCACCTTTTGGTGTACCAAACAACACAGGAACACATCAGAGAGGAAAAGGGGGGGAGAGAAAGAGAAATATCAATGAGGAGAGAGATAACAAACAAAAATGATGAGAGAGAATCATTGATCAGCTGCCTCCTGCACACCCCCCACTGGGAATGAAGCCACAACCCGGGCATGTGCCCTGACCAGGAATCAAACCATGACCTGGTTTATAGGTCAATGCTCAATCACTGAGCCACAGCAGCTGGGCTATCTGATTACAATTTTTAAGTTTAATTTTGTAGTTATAAATTGTGATAATTATTCTAATTTTCTTCTCGTCCTGTGAAAAGGGCAATAATTGTGTAGTAGTTTAAAGGAATAGAGACTATTAAGATGACTATTATTCTCCACATTTTTACAATATAAATATTTCTCTTTCTCTAAAAGAGCGTTGCTCTAGCAGATTGTGTTGTAAAGTGACATGATAGTATGACTATTTATCATGTTATTTGTAATTATTTAGCTATCTTTTAGAATTTGATAAACAGTAAATAGTACATTTGGTAAACCATTGCTGTTAAGCTGTTTACTGAATTCATTGTCTTATACTTGTTTATACTATAGTCAATAAATGCAACTTCTTTTTTATTTAGTTATATATTTATAATAATATATATTCTTAATGCTATTAAAGTGTTTAATAGCATTGCAACATTTATTAAATTTGAAGTTATTTTGTAATTGATACATTCATTAATTTCATTAACTTTTACTATGTTTATCATCTCCTGATCTAAATACTTTTTTTTTGTATAAAGGTACAATTCTAAGAATCATTAAGCTGTTTCTTATGGAAATGCTCTCTTTACTTGTAGGGTATTAATACAAGCCATTAAGCTTGAATTTCTTCTGGCAAAAACAATCCTAGCAGATGGCAACTTTTCTCTCTATTAATTTTGGATTGGACATGTACTTTGGCTTGTTCAGTCATGTCATATTTGTAACATAACAAGGATCATTCAAGCAAATACAATAATGTAGTGATGGTCATGTAGAATATGCAGACTTATATCACACAAATAGATAATGTAGCAATGGTTGTGCAGAATATGCAGTCTCATAACTATGAAGATGTCAACGTTTTCTTATTGTAAATATGAGGGTTATGTAATATGTTAAGGCATAAGCTTAATTTATCTGATAGATCTTTTAAAGTAATGCTACTTATATGGCAAATATTTAGTCAATTGTATAAGTGTTTTTGTTTGACATTTGAGCACTTGTAGGAATTAGACTATATTTTTCAATTTTTATTTAGCTATATAGTAATGTTAGAAACAACCCGTCATCACCTGTAAAGCATGCAACTTTTGATTTTTGAATCTGGATATGTGGTAAATGGGCTAATCTCCCAAAGAAACATCTTAAATACATGATATAAATATAAAAATAAAAGCAGTATACCTTTGCCAAAACCGGTTTGGCTCAGTGGATAGAGTGTCGGCCTGCGGACTGAAAGGTCCCAGGTTCGATTCCGGTCAAGGGCATGTACCTGGGTTGTGGGCACATCCCCAGTAGATGTGCAGGAGGCAGCTGATTGATGTTTCTCTCTCATCGATGTTCCTAACTCTCTATCTCTCTCCCTTCCTCTCTGTAAAACATCAATAAAATATATTTAAAT